TATCTCTCTTTAGAAACAAGTTTTATGCAAGCATTCAAGTTTAAAGTCAGTGCTTATAAGGAACTTTGAAAAAAACATGATGGGAATGGGATGCCAGGGGAATAGATGATTCTCTCATCTGAAATGCATAATTAGCTTCTGGTTAAGTGTGCAATTAACATTAAAATTTACAATCAAGTATGACAGTGTTCTAATTTTACCTCCTTTAAATGAAAAAATGAACTTAGTTACCAGTGTTATTTCTTTGAATCCCTTCCCTATGAGGCGAGCTGCACAGTAACATCCTGTCATCCAGGCAACAACTGATACAAAAAGCTTTCAAAAACACTCCATATCTGCCTTCTGGACAGCTACGCAGCTTGGGTTTTATTTTGGTTTACACTTTTTTTGTTTTGTAATGGTAACTGCCACTCAGCATAATTAGCAGTTGTCATATTTCTGTTTGTAAAGATCATTCCCACAAAAACAGAGTGATGTTGCTTTGCACCCTCTTCCCAGCTGTGCCTGAAAGCTGTAATGTGTTTCAGACATCCACTACAGCTAATCTCAGACCCCTACAGGTTTCAGCAGTTAAGCCATGGAAACATTTTTGTAATGGGAAAGAAAAAGCTATACTCGTCCTAGCAGTTTAAATCTGATAAGCAGCGCCTTAAAAGAAAAATCATACTGCAGTCTAAATATGCTGTCTCCATCCGAACATCACATCCTTTTTGCCTTTTAACCTGAAGTTAAATTTAACCTCTATCTGCCTTTAAAAAGTTGAAAGTAGTTTCAACTGTAACACCAGCTGCCAAAGCCTGTATTTAATCACGTTTATTATTAATCAAATATATGTTTATAGTATGTGCAACAAAAAATGAGGCTCCACTGTGCAGGGTGCTGTACAAAAGTATAATGAAAGTGTAATGAAATTCCTCACACAAAGCACACATTTTGTGGTGTGCAAAGTGTTGTGGCGTGCAAGCGTTTTGGCCTAAACACTGCCAATGATTTTCCATCAGTAAATTTGTGTTACTATCCAAAGACCTCATGGAATTAACGTAGACTGGGCCAGTGTGAAGGACCAGAGTTTGCCCCTCAGCAGTTAACCTCAATGCTATGTTGCTCAAGAGTTCTGCCATTGTTACTACTTACCACCATTATTACTTACCATCAAGAGACACACAAACGCACAGAAGGAGGAAAAAAAGAAATCTCGTATTGCTCGCACGTAACACCAAAATCACTTTTATTCATTCGCCCTGCTTCCATCTGGATCTGGACAAAGTGGCCTTCTCTAGCTGCTAGGCAACCTGAAAGCTGCATTGAGTATTAACTGTATGCATTTGCTAAGAATATAATAATGTTACCTTTGAGATTTATTTATAATAAAAAACATATCTCGCTGAAAATATAATAGCTTTCCTTCAGTAATCAGTAATTAGCAACTCTGGGACTACAAAACTGTTGGTCAAGAAAGAAATAATCCACATGTACACCCTACATGCAGAGAGATGATATAAATCGGCTCCCTACAAATATATAGTAAGGGAGATGCTTTATATGAAAGTATTATTACAAATGGCAGTGGCATGAAAAAAAAAAATCTAATACAAGAATTACATTTATGTAGAGGTCAGAATATCTACATAATATATTAATATATTTACATAAGTAATATTTTAAATTAGAAATGTTACCAAACCTCATCCAACTACAAAATGAGCTTTCTCAGTAAAGGTCATTTATTAAATTTACAGAAGACCACCATTCCTAAACAAGACAAAAAAGACTTGAAATTAAAACAGAGTCAACTGATCTTGGAGTTCTTTAACAAAGAAAAAAAAAACCACAAAACATTACTTCACATAACCTCTCTCCAGACCATTTTACTGTTTTTTTCTCTAGCAGGAGAGCTATCATTCTACCTTAAAAACACCATGAATGCTTGTCCCACTCCTCTCAAACTCAAGAGATATTCCTTTCAAGTCTTTTCAAAGCAGATAATTTCCCAGACTGCTAGTTCACTAGTATAACTGATAGGAATCTTATTAAAACATCAATTTGGGTAATTGAGGTGTTAATATCAATAAAGCAAGAGGGCCCCTAATGACATCAAAATTGAACAGAGCAGCGCTCTTTTTTGCTCATCACACCTGACAGCTTGTCAAATCCTGATTCACAAAATACGGACTTCCTCAAATTCAGCACAAACACAAAAGCTAGATCTCTAGCTTAAAAACGCTCATCAAATTCTACTGGAGATTTTAACCACGAGATAGGCCAGAAAGACATTTACTGACACGGCGACACACTGTTAGTCTTTATATGCAGCTGCTTGGCACTTGAAGCGGCGTGAATTTTTCTTAGCTTTAAGAAAACCCAAGGAGCTGTTTGTAGTTGGGGTCTTACACCCAAATATTCTGCTCTTCTGTTCAACACAGGCAACAGTCAGTGTAGAAAGTCCCAATAATCGCTGATGCAACTTCCCTCCCGCCTTGAGATTTGTAGGACACAAACCAAGGTTATTTGTGCACAGCCCTTGAGCACCTCCAGTCTCCACAGCTGCATACACTCAAGAGCTCCACAAGCACCCATGAACTGAAAGAGACCTGGCTCCACAGAGCAGAGAACATTAGAGGTTCCCAGAAGTGCTCCTCTCTGGATTTTATAAAGACATTTGAAGTGGTTAATTTAAACACTTGTACCTTCTCCTTCTTCGCCTAGTTTCACATTAGTTTCACATTAAACCTGGTTCAGGTAAGACTTAACACCAAGCTTAGGGGGAGCATAATTAAAAAGAAAAGTCAACATAACTGGAAAGTTGTAAGTAAAAGCCAAGTGTTGAATGGAGCCGCGGGATCCCACACTCACAGAAACTCACTAGCAGCTGTAAATCATTAAAAGAAGTAATTGGAAGACAGGTTGGTAAGAAAACTCTTCCTTCTTACACATAGTTTTGGTATGCTAATGGCCCCCACTACTACTACATGCACCCTGAAGAATATATTGAAATTACAAGTTTAGTCTCAGGACAGGCAGGAGGTAAACAAGTTCAAATACCGTAGTTTTTAGAGAGGTACACACTTAATGTTTTTGTTAAGGTCCTTAAATCATGACTCACATCAGGTATCCATGCAAGGAGCACAGAAAGAGAGAAGAACAGAACATGGGTCACTCTGGAACTGTCACACACTTACATGAACCTTTTATTGAAAAAAATTTTAAATCAACAATTTTGTTGGTAACTCCAATATTACAGGTCCTATAGATAGGACCTACTGAGGAATCCACCTGACATCTCTTTTAATAAGAAATTTAAGGTTATTAAAGCCTTTTCCCCCCCCAAAGCCTTCAAACAGATTTAATTAAGATTATTGCTTAATTAATTTTTATCCCAGTATTTTTGCAAAAAACCCAAATATTTCATGGTGCTTTTTGTCTTGCTTTTACACAACTTATTAGGGAATTTCATGTTCCAAGATTAAGAAAGACAAACTGGATGGAAATCATCTTTAATTGCTTATGGGGCCTGAAGTACAATCATTCTTATTACCTAAACCCTAAATTAAATCAAATAGTTTCATGTCAGGTTCTCTACATTAGTTTCAATGCCAGAATTCTGCAACATGAAAAGGATCTTTTATTAAATAATTTGTGGTACCCTTCACCCAGCAACACAGAAATAAAATGAATCATATTGTTGCAGTTAAAAAAAAAAAACAAACCAACAAAAGTTCCTCATTTTAGATTCTCACCAATTTATTGTGACTATTCAAGATAGTCACAATAAATAAAAAACCCAATATGATTACTATAATATTACATTTAAATGCAATAACTACAGGTTAATTATAGATCAAGTGTCTATAGATCAATTAGAAGACTATGCTCTTACCTGGGGCAGGATTTGGGTAGAAATGCTATACAGTTTCAGGTCATCTTCAAGTCTGAACTTTAAGCTTAACTTGTGGGAGAAACCACTAAGTAGGCAGCTACTTTGAGTTAGTAAGAGTACTCCTTTGAAATTGTTTTAAGAGAATATTAGCCTTGTATCTTCTATTTGAGACCTTCTCCTTTCATGCAAAACAGAAAAGAACCACCTTGCGAACTAGAATTCCAGCTGGAGCCCTGTGGTTCTTTAAAACACAGCAATCTGAGCCTAGGTTTTTTAAACACCCTGAGTAATTCACTGGGACACGGAGGGTTTAAGCACCAACAGGATAAACTGCATTTGCACCGTAGAGTTTAAGCCATTTGCCAGCAAGTAAAATAAAAGAAAACACTTGCTTTCCATAAAAAGGAACATCATGAGCTACTGACAATTGCTTGGCCTTGGTCTGCCACTCTGCAGCTCAGGAACTCTTTTTTTTTTTTTTTTTTTTTTAACCTAGGTTAGGATGCTGTAATTCAAAAAGGACGAAAACGTCCGATGACTGGGTGTTTGAGCAGAGGGAGCCTCCAGTTTACCTGCACAAGTTCTCTTCCCATTTGATTTACCAAGAAGTCGTGTCAGCAGAGATGGTTTGAAGCATACCTCTCTCTTCCCCCTGAGGAATCCTGGATGGATGAAGTGAGCTGGCTTGGCGCTGCTGAGCAGGTACATGAGTTGCAGGACGATACAAGTATCTTATTTGGAGAACATAAGCTGATAGTAGAAGCTACGTGTAGAGTTCACTCACTGAGTGCTCACTGAATTTCTTCACCTACTACTGCTCACTCAAAAAGCGCTACTAAAGGGCTCCAGATCTGCTTCGGGTTTGTTGCAGTTTAATAGTACACTGACTCCTGAGAACATAGAGCAGCTGCTTAAGACCATATCAGGAGTCCCACCAGTTGAGCGAGACAGCAATACGAAGAGAACTTACTCAGCTATACTGCTGGGATACAAACGATACAGCCACACAAAACGTATGAACAATGAAAGACTGTATTAATCTACTTCCAAACAAGCTATTTTTTTTACCATCATATCTTTGCTGCGATTAATATAAAGCATTTTTGAAAATGCTGGCACTTACCCAAATCTGCAGTTTCACCCGCTTGTCATTCCTATAAACTGTTTTCACTTTGAAGTCAATTCCTACTGTACTAACAAAGGCTGGTGTGAAAGTGTCGTCGGCGTATCTGAAGAGGAAGGATGTTTTACCCACGCTGCTGTTGCCAATGATCAGGAGTTTGAACATGTAATCAAAATTTTGATCTGAAGTATCTTTCTGCTTGTATCTGGCATCTGTTACTGAAGCCATCTAAGAAAACGACAAACATTGAAAAAGAACAGATTTAAGAGCAGTTCAGCATTTGTTTTCCTTAACTGTGTACCATATGTTTAGTTTATCTCTCTTCTTTCTAATATCATAACCACTATATCTGCTAAATAAAGAGAAACACACCTTGAAATCTTCTTTTAAATCCTGGCTTTAAATTTCTATTATCCACTTGTACTGGTAAGATTTCCAAACCCAAGAAATACACCTGTTGCACCGCTTTGTGTTTAAAAGAATAACAGATGGCTATTCAGATTGTTCAAATACTAGTGGGGAAACAGCATTCTTTACTCCTGTGGCAGGGTTCTACTTCTGTTTCTCCAATAAACTGGAGTACTGCAACCATAATCTAAAATCTTTGACAGTGCATCCAACTATGCAATTCATTAAGCAGCCTTCAAGGCAGGTAAACCTAAATAATTCCTTTTATGACTACTAGGGAAAATCTGCATATTTCTAGCACATGCACATTTACAGAAGAAAAAGAAAAAAAGGCCATGGGAGAAGATGAAACACCAGGAATTTCAGCTGAAAACTTTTAATCCATCCAAAACCTATTACCCTCAAGTCTGCAATTAAAATAAACAGCACCTGCATAAAACATGAGGCCTCACTGGGGCTCCAGGCAGCATTTGGAACAGATAAATTATCACTTTTTATTATGGGGACATGAGAGTTGGGGACATTAGTGGGGTGGGGAGGGGGGAAGATGCAGCCTCAGAGATCCCTCCTTCTCTTGTGACCCTGAACTGGATTCAGAAACCAAAAAACAACTGCAGAATCTGAAATATCAAGACGGGTGGAACTCACTGAGCAGTCCTAGCTGCTTTAATGTATGCAGCTCAGACACTAAATGGGAGAAGGCAAGGCCCTGACTTTTCATCTCTGTCTATACAAAGCAGAAGACAACTACACAGACCAAATTGCTACAGAGAGGAGAAAAAGGAAACTCTACCTTTTAACAGATATACCACACTTTTAATCTCTAATGCTGTTTCAAAATTTACCCCACATCAAACAAGCAAAGGTCTCTGCTCCTTAAAACCAGTCACGGGGTTGCGTAAAGTGGGGCAACGACAGCACGGGTCTGATTAGAAGCTACTGGTCCAAGCTAGGACATGTGCTACTTGTGTGCAGTGTCAGAAAGCACTGAGTGGAGACTGAAGTCTCTTCTTCCCCCCGCATCCAAAGAAATAAGTTAATTTTCCCCTCAACTCAGATTCATGGGCATCTTTAGGAACAAAACTCCCACCAAAGTCTACTCTCATCATGTGCCCAAATACTTTCCCTCTTAGCAAGTCTCACCTGCACACAGGAACTTCACTGACTCACTGAAAAAAACAAAACAAAACAAACAGTTCAAAACTCACTGTAGTTAAACAGCTATAAACCAAAATGCTGTCCAAAGGCGATTTAAGTTGGGGTGACAATTTAACTTAAATTCCCAACAGAGGGGAAACAAATCAAAACCAACCCATTTTAAACATCAGTAAAATATGCATGACAGTTTATCTCCGACTAAACACATGCAACTTTCTCACACAGAAAAGGGCTGGTGCATCAGACATTTTGTTCACAGATTGCATTAACAAGGACAGTTTCTGAAGAACTTTATCCGTAGCTCAATAGTCAACAGCTGCACGGAACGCAGTAAAATCTTCCCACAAGTGATTCTCTGTAGGATACAACACAATTCTGATACACACTCTTCTGAACTTCAGCTGCTATTCAGTAAGACTACAGTCCTTTGCAAGCACTCCAGAAAACCCAAGTACAAATTTTCTTCTCACCAGCATATCAGAAAAGGGCTCTTCTACTCATGCCTTGTGGTTCTTAACAGGAATTTCTAAAATTAAGAATTCAACATCCAACTGACTTCCACACACACACTCGGGCCAATGCACTCACTGCCTCAGTTCAAATGTTAGAAATCCCAGCTGCAAAAATTATGAATCCAGATGATTAGTTGATTTGTACCATCACCAAGGCGGAAGACAGTAAGAAGTTCTCTATTTGAGTAATTTATCTTCCTCATACGCATACATAACTTCCACAAATGCCTCCAAGAACACATGTGCACTTACAAAAGAAGAAAAAAAATTAAAAATATCTACTTCTCCATTCCACTCACAGAGGCTTGAAAAAAGTGAGGTGCCCTCATCACTTGAAGCCTGGTCATTTAAAGATTCAGAGGCAGACCTTTAACAAAGAAATATTCCACTAATCATACAGGAATCAGTATCTTCTTTTTACCCCTGCCTTCGCAGAATCTGTCCATACACTCTAAGCTGATCTTTTAAATGAAAGACTGCTGCTTCTATTAACCCCCCTAGATTGCTACAATCAAAAGTGTACCTGGCTACAAATGTGACTTTCAGATGTCAGTTAAAAAAGCAATTACAGAATGCAGCCAGCTAGAGCAGCTTTGTTAGAAGCACAACACAGAAAATAAGATGAAGTGATACTTGCACAGAACGCGGGGCTGTTGTCATAGAAGCACAACACTCGCTGGCCTGCGCGTGCCACTGTGCTACGCTGAAGATGCTGCAGGCCGGCTCCTTGAATCATTAGGGGCAGCGTCGGAGCACAAAAATTTCAAAGAAAATTCCATCGCCTTGCTTAAATTTGACTTTTCCCTTTCCCCTCCTCTGGTCAATAGAGTGAAACTGAAGGGACTTTAGTACCAATTACTGATTACTCCTCTGATTGCAGATCATTACTGAAGCTGTACTCCACCAGCATTTGGGCTGAAAGCGTTCACAGGGCTGCCCCTGAATCTGTGCTTGAATCCTGAAGCCAGGAACCAGCAGACCTTTCCCCCAGTTCTCCTCCGCTCCCTTCCTCGTCCCCACTTGTTGTCCCACCCCTGCTCCAAGCGCTCCCTAGTTATGCCAGTCCTGAGGACCACGCAGAGAGATGGTTCAGAGAACAGAGATCCCAGTTAAAAATAAATCCTCCTACGACTTCTCCTGTTTTGCAGGGCTGTTTTTAAAGTTGGTTCAGTTCCTGATCCAGCACAGCTGAGGGAGCCAAGCGGAGGGGACCAAGCGGTGGGAAGCAATGGCAGTTGCTATGCTACTGAGAGAAAGGTCCACGAAATCACATCTCCTGCAGGCCCTCCGCACCTGGTGGAGATTCAGCATCAGCAGCGGAGGGAAAAGGTGATGACATGCCCATGTCAGGCAGCTCCTGTCCAACTCATCGAACAGCTCGCACAGCCATTGCTCCCAGAGGATTTTATTCCCTCCTTGGTGAAAGGACGTTTAGTTGGCAGTGTAACCCCCTGCTTTCTGGGTACACAACTACATATGCTCTTTGCTTAGGATGACTCCAAATACAGAAGTGTCTCTCTGCTGTTTTACAAGCACATGCAGACCAATTAGGGTTTTGCTACAGAAGACCGAGTCAAATACGACGGGCACGCAGAGCGCAAAAGAGAGGTTCATGGCTGTTTCCATTTTGACAGCCCTGGAATAACCCTCGGGAAAATACCTATACAGGAAAGATTTACATTACAGAAAACCCATTACACAGGAGAAGAAAAAGCTGCCAATCAGACTGTCCGTGAGAACACTTCAGTATGAGACCTTGCATCTTTTAGTTCTTTGCCTGGGTATCCCACTTCTTTATAGCTAAGAGCATACTAATGTTGACAACCTGTTTTCCCCATATGCTTTAGCAATGGTCTCAAACACATCCACTTCCAGCTAGTTTTGTGAGAATAGGCAGTTATGTAGCTATGAGATACCTTATTATTTCCCGGTTGAGGAAAAAGCCTGCAGTGTGACCTCGTCTTTTATTAGACAGAGAAACCACATAGGAGGAGGATGCTACAAATGCTCTAAAGCAATAAAATCTTAATCAGAGCTTATTAGCCACCAAAGAATACGTTCCTCAGTCAAAGTGTTTCTCCTGCCTTTATTTTCTATTTTGGTCTAATGAAGTTTAAAAAAAAGAAGCCTATCACCATAAGACACCTCCATGAGAAACCAGTCTTCACTGCTTTCAGTACTCACTGAAATGTGTCATATAGATGGCTCCACACAGCTGTGCTCTTTAATTTGTGACCAGCATCATGGTGAAGAATCAAACTGTTTTGTAGTGCAACATGAACCATCAAAGTGTTACTGCTCTTACAAATCACTAGAAGTGGTCACTGCTGCCCCAGTTCTGCAGTATTTACTGCCTAAAGCCAACTTCAGTGAAAAGCAGTACATGTCTAAAGCTGATGGTGTTGGATAGAAATCAACTGGCATATCTTGCTATCCATTCATTTCCAGAAAAAAACTAACGCTGAATTCAAGTGTTTCCAGCCTTTATAATTTTTGGCTACAAACTAACGGAAGGCTGTTCTTCTCTATCCACTCACAGACATGAAACAAGAAATCTGATCATTACTTTGGAAGTTTAGGCATCTCTGTATTAGCAATCGCATGGGTCTGTTCACAGACATGGCTGTTTCCACATCCCACTCTCTGTCACAACATTGTGAGGAAGAAGTTTGAATTGCCTTTGGAAAAGGGTCTCCTCGTCTGCTGTCAGTCACCTCAGTTAACCATGAAACGTGGTCACACTGATGGAACTTATGCTTCAAATTACGCACGAAGACATATCTGCAATTTCAACTTGTTATGAACCTGTATATTCTGTATATTACAAGTTCTATGCCTTTCTAACAGTAAAAACATATTTTAATATGTCACTGCTTTATTTTTAAAGCCAAAACTGAAATTTACTACATATGTTTTGTGTTATATCGGACCAGTGCCAATTTAAATGTGACTGTTTAGCTGTTTCATCATCATCCGCGAGCACACACACGTTTCTTTTATTAGGCAGATGAGAAGATGGGGGTGAAACCACCCCTCTATATTTCTAAGAGTCAAAAATCTTATGACAGCATGCTACTCCAGGCTGAGTCCAGCCTCGTTTTGTGTGTATTCAGCAACTGAGCCTTTGCTGTTTCTCCTGACATACTATTT